GAAAGGGCCACTTTATTTGGGGGAAGCTTCAGTCTGTCTGGAGTAGAGGTACATGTAAAAGGATGCTTGTAAATAGGGGTTTAGGACCGAACTACACCATGCTGAGGCATTTGAACAATGAGAATAGAAATGTACTGAAATGAGATCATGTAAATGGGCTGAAAAGGAGCTTTGATTTTTCCAGGTTGTGGCTTATGAGACCAGATAAAGGGTCTCCGGCAAAGCGAAAGAATGCAAGGATACCTCTCACTGTCCCGGTGTGAGTTTGTCAGCAGTGATCATATAAGGATTGAAATCTTGTTTGTCTGTATCAACGCTAAAACTAGATGCTATGCAGGGTAATGAGTATGACATAAAAAACGGTGGAGTTATGGAGGGGGGTGTTCAGTAATTCTTGGAAGGTCTATACAACAAGGTTAGGGGTACTATTTATGTCCTCAGAAATTTATATACCAGTGCAAGATGCACAGGTAATAAGCAGAGTAAATTTTAAATCCTCGCAAGGAAATGAAATTGAGTTTAGATATATTACACTCAGACTTAGTGGAATGAAGGCTGTACCTTGGACTTTTTCTAGTGAGAGGGCTTCAGAGAACACTTTATGGAATTTGCAAAGTTAAGAGTGGAAGCATGATTTGTAAGGTCATTCCAGTGCAAGTCAGTAGCACATTGATTTCACTTGTGGTCATTGGAACCATTGACCCATTCTGACCAGAGAAGTGATCAGTTAAGTTTCTGTTAGAAAAATATTGACATGGCTACATAGGTTAGAACGAGGGATGGATTAGGGATAGAGAAATAAGCTAGATGTCTAATTTAAATAAGGAGAGCATGTAGACATAGATGGCAAAAAAAGGACTTATCAGTGTTATCAATACGTTATTAATTAAAATGCATAAAACAGGAGTGAGGACTGGTGGGGTGCTTCTGTTTTCCCTGAGCGCCATTCATTTACTTATAATGCATTGGCCACACTTAAAATGCTATCAGGAGTTCTGGAAACCACACTTTGACATGTGGATCAAATGAGTACATAGTAATGAAACCGACCGAGATGAACAAGTAACTCAGAACCACTGGATGAGAAATGGTTGTGATGTTTAGCTTCGAGATGAACAGACTCAGTAGTTAGGTGGTTATCCTCACAGTATTAAAAAATAGGGACCGCCCTCCTCTGAAAGAAAAATTAGTTGTTGTGTTTCCATATCTTAGGTCAAGACTAAAGAGCGGGAACTACAGAGGGGAGGCTTTGGCTTCTTTTGGGGAAAAAACTTTCAAATACTGTGAGTTCCTTGCCAGTGGAATGAATAATTTTGTGGGGTAGTAGCCAATTTCTCTTTATTGCAGGAGGTCAAACATAGTTGGACTACAACTTGGTGGGAATTTTTTACAATATTGAAGTTTTGGTTGAATGTGCATCAGGGAACTTGAAACATGTTATACTAGATATTTGCAAGGTCCAGAGAATCTTGAGTTTATGATTTTAGGTAGTGACAGTGGAAATGTAATACAAAGAATCTGTCCTTAGTCCCTGGTTCCTCCTCTTCGTTTCCCCCTCCC